GTAAATAATGATGTATGCACAACCTTGGAACAACAGGGCTCTAGGATATAGGGATTGAGACATGGTTGGAATGGGCGAAAGGGGAGAAATAATGTTAAGATGCTTGGCTGTCTTTTGAATCTTGTTTTTCCTTGCATACAATTATAAAATAGACACTGGAGGGAAAGAGAAAGGAATAGCCAGAAATATCACCATAGAAAGATTGGAAGTCCATCTTCTGCCTATAACTGATTGGAATACCTAAAACGGGGCTACAATGTGCCCAGTGAAGGAGGCTTCCTGGGGAGCCTCTGCATTACATAACACCATAGGTAGAATCCTGAACCATATCCAGAATCCTCCGAGGTGGAAAATTTCCTCTTGAAAGGACAAGCAGACCAGCCTGGAGCAGCTAGAAGAACAGAAGATACTTCTTGAAAGAAAGACTGACAGGAAAAATACAAAACAATATAGGCAGTCCGACTGATTACAAGCACAAGCAAGTTGTTCACCCAGGAAACATCAAGGCAAGTGGTCGGGTCCCCTCAGGGCAAACCCCTTTCCAAGACTAAGACTCAATGGGAATACACACTCTTTAATTGGTGACCATGTTTATCACCGATAGGGGAAGTGAGGGAAAAACAGCAATGAAGCTATGAGCTAAGCCTTACAATGTTCAGTAGACTCTTGTGAACCCAGGTGGATACCTGGTCAGCAGTGTGGCAAGACCTGAGGACTCTTGGACTCAGAGTCAGTAACATAGCCACAGAGGACTAGAGTAAAGCATACAGCTGATAAGAAGAGAAGCCATATGCATAAGAACACCCACACTTGCAGATAATACCCACTTGATCAGAGCTCAACTAGAAGAAGAAAGAAGAGGGAAAAAAAAGAGTAATCTGATACAATTTGATGAACTTGACCTACACCTATGTATGCAGTAGCTCAAAAGAGGGAACAAATCTTTACAGCGAGCATCATCGCAACCCCCTTGATACACAGGATAGACCAGGATGGGCAACTTGGACATTGGCTACTCAAAATGGGGGCGCTACAACGGCAAGAAGTGACTGGCTTACAAGCTTTCAAGAGGGAGCCTAGATCCAAAGGGCATGGAGGAAGGTAGAATCTCACTGAGTAGAATCCAGTCTATCTGGGTGGGGTTGATGAAAGGAGATATGGATAAGTCTCTTGTGATACAATAGTGAACAATTGTTATCAGAACTGATTGTGAAGGTTGGAAATGTAAAGGTAGACATTTTGTAGCAAAAGGAGGGAAGTGATTGACTTTGCAGTCTAGGAGCAGATGTCCCTGGGATCATCAAGGGAGAAGAATGGAGAGTGGGACCCTATCCAGAGAAGCAGTGACACCAGAGATGGAGGAAGAGACAATGATGTGGAGACATGGAGTGGCTGGGGACTGTAGACCCAGAGAGGGAGAGAGGCTATGTGCTGACGAACAGGGTGCACGCTTGCAGTGTATACCCTTTGGTTGGTTGATGATGCATGGAGGGGATTGTAACCATGGCAGTGAAACAATATATGATAGGATGAATGTAAAGCTAATGTTCTTCCATGTAAACTGTCACATAATTCACAATAAAACATTGAAAAAAAAAAAAAAAAAAAAGAAGAAGAAGAAGAACGTAGAGGTTGGACCAAAGAAAGATATGGTAGAATATAGGTTCAGGCCATACTATTTTCCCCAGAAGGGCCCAACACAAGTGCTTTGAAATGCAAACACATGCAAAAGGAATTCCAAGGCTATGGTACTAGAATGTCAACCTAGTACAGAGTTGTGATTTCATAAATGTATGAACTTGGGTTATAAAAAGTAAGGAACTATATGAGTAGACATTGTGTGAACTTGAGCTAAATAAATGTGAATTGATCTTTTAAAAAAATGTGTTGTAAATGTAAATTGTTAAGCACATAACATACATTGCACAAAGCAGCTTTGTTTCATTGGCATGATTTCCACCTCTTCATAGAAATTCCTCTCCATGTGATATAGGCACTTTTCTTGAGAAGTTATGACTAGAATTTAACACAATAAATGGAAGCTAAGTGCACTTGTTAGGAAAATGGGAGTAGGATTGTTAGGCAGTGTTGCATGCCTCTCCATTTGAAACTCATGGTCATAAATTTGAGGTGAGAGCAATCTAAAGTTAGGTGATTTTTGTTTAGTAATAACATTCTGTATCCCAGAAGTAGAGTTGGAAGTTAGCCAAGTAAGTATAATAAAAGGGAAAAGGTTAAGAGAGTTAAATGCTTGCAGGTTAATGATTATGGTGATGGTCCTGGGAATCTAGGCTAGGTACAGAAAATAAAACAACAGGGTCAGTAAATTAACTGGAGGTCTTAATACGGTTAGAAAATTGTTGAATTCTGTGTAATAGGTACATAAACCAAAGTTAATGGTTAGAGAAAAGAATGCTTGAAATTGAGATTGTGGTACAATTTTTCCAGAAGACAAGGTTAAGACCTTGAGAATGGATGGTGTAGGTGAGTTAAAGGAAAAGATCACAGAAACTGAGGACATCAAAGAAATGAAACAAAGAGTATTCCATGGGTGATCCAAGTAGATGCTAAAATTTCCAAGAATGAAACAGACAAATTTGCTGCACAAGACCTCTTTAAAGTGTTCAACAGCAAAGATGTCAGTTTGAGGACTAAGCTGTGCCTGACCCAAGCCATGGTATTTTCATTAGCCTCATGATAGCGTAGTGGTTACGAATTGGGCTACTAACCCCAGGGTCAGCAGTTCGAAACTACCAGCTATTCCATAGGAGAAAGATGAGGCTTTCTGCTTCCGTAGAAATTTACAGCCTCAGAAACCCAGTGCAAGGTTGCTATGAGTGGGTACCAACTCCATGGCACATAACAACAACAATAACATGCATGTGAAAGTTGGACAGTGAATATGGAATACAGTAGAATAATTAATGCATTTGAGTTATGGTGTTGGAGGAGACTATTGAAAAAAACATGGACTACTAAAAGAATAAATAGATAAGTGTTGGAAGAAGTACAGCCAGAGTGCTCTTTGGAAGCCAGGCTGGCCAGACTTCATTTGTCATACTTCAGACATATTATCATGAATCACTGGAGAAGAATATAATGTTTGGTACAGTGGAGTGTCAGAAAAAAGAAGACCCCCAACGAGATGGATTGGCACGGTGGTGGAAGCCATGGGCTCAGGTGTAGTAATGATTGTGAGGTTAGCCCTAGACCCAGTGTTTTGTTCTCTTGTGCATAGGGTCACTATGAGTGGTACTGACTGAATGGTAAACAACAACATTGTGTATTACTGCACATACTGGATATGCTTTTTAACGTTAGAGCAATCTAGATGTGGAAATACACTGATAAATTATGCATATTATTAAGCCTAAAAAACTGTAAACAGTGATATCAGTAGTGTATGACAGAGATATTGACTCTAATACTGATAAAACTGGTAGACTTTGAAATGTGGACTCATCAGAAAACCAGGAACTGGAGGCAACTTTACCTACAGGCCGCCAGGCAACTGGTTACCCAGAACATTGGAAAGAAGGCAGCCTTATTTCAAAGTACTTCCCTTACTTAACAAATGAAGTGCCCAGCATTTCTATAGTAAAGACATTCCTTTGGGTAAAGAATTTACTGAGTCCGTAATTTGGTGTTGAAAGGTTAAAAAGAACATTTACCTTCAATCCCAAATCTTGGTGCAGACTAGTTTGTTGGTTAGACACAACTTTTAAACAAAGGTATAAGAGTAGTGGACATCTTTGAAAAGAAACAGAAGGAGGAGAATGTGGCGTTAGAGCTATGCAGTCTGGAGGGCACTTTTCCTTTTGTATCATTTTACTTCTGATTCGTTCTGCCGTTTGCTGCTAGTATCATCAAATCTGTGAGAGTGATGAAAGGAGGAAGACAGTAAGGAAAGGAGGATTGTTGTTGTTAAGTGCGGCTGAGTTGGTTCCAACTCATAGCAACCCTGTATAGGGTTTCCAAGGAATGGCTGGTGAGTCTGAACCACCAACTTTGAAGTTTAAATTGACCTTGTGGTCCACTGGGTTAGCCGACAATGCCACACCAGGATTCCAAAGAAGGATAGATATCAAGTAAAGTGGGGATGGGTAGAATGGGAGAAGAGCTGACTTGAAAAAAATGAAGATCAGCTAAGTCAATAAAGCATAAATAAGTATTCTTTATGAAAGCAGTTCACCAGGTCTTTCTTCCATGGAATGAGTGAATTCAAACTTACAACCTGTAGCATTTGATCTCAAACCACTTCCATCACCCGGCTAGTCTAGAAGATAACTTGTCTTGCTTATTTCTCTAGCCTCATTTTGCTCTACTCTTCCCTCACCTGCCTTGGCCCAGGCTCTCTGGCTCTCTTTTCATTCCTGGGGTACACCTCTCCCTTCTTTGCTTCCTCCCACCCTTGTGTGAAGCACTGTTCTTCTCGGGCACCAGGCAAGACAAGTCTTAGCCCTTGACCTCGCCCTTGCCCTTGCCCTCAGTGAAACCATCCTTTAAGTTCAACTAAAGTCTTATTTCTGAAAGTCTTTTTTGAGCTCCCATTTTAAATTAGTCCACAATTTATACTCTTTAATAATAGCTGGTGTTTTACAGCACTTTTCACAGTTTGCAATTATACACGTATTTGAATGCTCATGTGTTTTCTCTCTCTTTCTCCTTCTAGCTTGAAGCTCTGTGAAAGCATATTAGTTTAGTTAACCATCTAGTCTGATGGCCTCCCAGAATCATTCAGTAAAACCTACTGAATACCTCGCAAACAATTTAAGAAGTTTAATAAAGGCACTTTTATTTTTGTCCTGTGGACTCTAAATAGCCACAGGATGGCAATAATTATTGTTGTCAAAGTAGAAGCATTTGTGAACTGACAGATTTTTAAATTTATCTAAAAGATGAAAATGTGTTTATTACATATGATCTACGTGTTTTAACTGAAGAAAATTCAAATTGTGAATTTTACTAGATTGATAACTCTCAGTGGCTTGCTCTTTCAGGTTGGAATTGTACAATATGGAGAAAACGTAACCCATGAGTTCAACCTTAATAAGTACTCATCAACAGAAGAAGTACTTATTGCTGCAAGTAAAATAATCCAGAGAGGTGGCCGCCAGACTATGACAGCCCTTGGAATAGACACAGCAAGGTAGGTGGATGAAACAATAAAGCCAAGTAATAGACGGAGAGAAAAACTGCTCACAATCTAGCCCTTTGATATGTTGACTGAACATTTGCCTTGGTGACGTCTTAAAGCCATCTGTTTTAAAATTCAGGTCCAGCTAATCAACTACCAAGAACAAGATCAGGCTTTTCGATCATATTTTCTCACCACCCTTCTTATCTTTCCCTGTTATTCCAAGGATTTAAATGATGGAGATTTAGTCCCAAAACTTACTGTAATCTTGTACAGTATGTCCTTGAGTGTTGTTTTTGTTGTTAGGTGCCATTGAGTCTGTACTGACTCATAGTGACCCTGTGCACAACAGAACAAAACATTGCCTGGTCCTGTGCTAACCTCACGATCGTTGCTGCATTTTAGACCATTCCTGCTGCCACTCTGCCAATACATCTCATTGGGAGTCTTCATCTTTTTCTCTGACCCTCCACTTTACCAAACATGGTATCCTTCTCCCTTCTGAAAATATGTCCAAAGTATGAGATGAAGTCTGGCCGTTCTGGCTTCCAAGGAGCACTCTGGCTCTACTTCTTTCAACACAGATTGGCTGTTCTTTTGTCTGTCCATGATACTTTGAGTATTCTCCTCCAACAACATAATTCAAATGTATCAGTTCTTCAACAATCTTCCTTACACACTGTCCAATTTTCACATACATATGAGATTATTGAAAATACCACGGTTTGGGTCAGGCACACCTTAATCCTCAAACTGACGTCTTTGCTCTTGAACACTTTAAAGAGGTCTTGTGCAGCAGCATTGCCTAGTGCAATACGTCCTTTGATTTCTTAGCTGTTGCTTTCATGAGTGTTGGTGGTTGGTCTGAGTAAAATGAAGTCTTTGACGATTTCAATCTTTTCTCCATTTAAGTGGAAGTTGTTTATTGGTCCAGAAGTGAGGATTTTTTTTTTTTTTTCTCTTTACATTGAGATACAATCCATTCCAAAGGCTTGGTCTTTGATCTTCATCAGTAAGTATTTTAAGTCTTCTTCATTTTCAGCAGTCAAGATTGTATCATCTGCATATCGCACGTTGTTAATGGTCTTAATGAGTATCTTTTTCTTCATTCTAGTCCATTTCTATTCAGTGTATGGAGTCCCTGTGTGGCTCATAGGATTAGCACTCAACCTCAAAGTCTGTTTGAACCGAAGGGTTAGTGGTTCAAACTCACCAGTTACTCCTCAGAAACCCTACACAGGGTTGCTGTGAGTTGGAACTGACTCAACGGCACTGAACAACAATATTCAGTGTATATTTATATACTAGTTCATCTATATTTTTCTAGTACTTTATTTGAGATTATTAAAAAGGTCAAATAAGAGTATCTAAAAAGTCAAATTAAATATTGCCTTACTTAGAAATGATTTTTAGTGCAAAGACTAAAAGAAAAGATTTGATAATTCCTAATGCCCTCCCTTCTCCCTTTCTCTTAAATTCCCTCCTATTGACATTCCTTCCTTTATCCCTCCTACAGTTGCCTTCACGGCAAGCATACAACTCACTCTGAGGTTGGATAACATTTCATAAGAATCTACAGAACTGTCCTTTTACAATAGAAGATATTTTCTTATCTGTACTTTCTCTATCTCATTTTGAGTCCTTATCTCCTCTTGTCTCTCTCCTTAGTCACCATTAAGTCTTGTAGGCACTTGAATGAAAGCTAAACAATCCCTCAAGTCACAGCAAGTCTAACATAGTTTGACTAATGTTAATAAATCTTCTGCTAAGTGTATTCAACTTCTGGATGCTCATCTACTTTTGAAATGTATTTAATCCATGCTCTGACTTCTACTTTCTAAGATCTGTGTTTAAAGGGTGTTAAAATAGTTAATATGGATCCTCCAAAGATGAAGGAAGATTCACATTTAAAATTTCATGTGCAGCTTTAGACTCATAAATGTTAGAAAAGCATGTAGTTATATTTATATGGGACCTAAGAAAAAAATAACTGCAAACACATGGAGTAATTTTGCATTTACCTGCCTGAAGGATCACGATTTGCATGCACAACCTGCATGTATCTAGGTGTAATGAATGCCTTTGAAATAATTGGTGAAAAGTGACTGCAAATTCAAAGTAAATCGAAGTGTTCTTTGAAAACTCTATGCCTGTAGGGAGCTGTACATTTTCCAAAGGCAACCACTTAAGAATGAATATTCATCTTTGAAAACTAACTGAAGAAATATTCTGGCTGCTTTCGCTCATGCATAAATATCACACTAAATACCATGCCCCTATATGGTTCTTGCTTATGTGTTTCACAAAGGGTCTAGCTGTAGGACACATAGATTAGTGAGTTTTGAGTATAAATAAAAAGCCCATAATACTGTTAATAAGTCTTCTTTTTTTATGCATTAGTGTTTTGAGATTCAGCATGTTTTTAATTGCTTCAGTGTTTCTTTCAAGCAGGGCCAGTTGCAAACAATATTTTTAGTTTGTTAGAATTACTTCCCTCATTTTCCGTGTATCCCAATTCATAACATTTTTTTTTTTGCATCCCTTTTTCCCTAGCCAGTACTTTCCTTCCTTTCAGTAGGCTTACAGTATTTATTCATAAGGCCTGGACACTCCCTACCAAGAAGAGGGATCTTCCTGGGATATTTTAATTTTAATAATCTTGCAGAGGTCAAAGCTTGATTCTGGGACAAGACATTGGATGGTGATGTTTTGAGGACTAAGGCAACTTGATGCGGAATATCTTTAAAGCACAAAGGGTGTCCTGCAGAGCTCAACCAATGAATACTCTGACATCACAGAAAGCCAGCCCTGGTTTCCATGACCAGATTTTCTACAAGAAAGGTCTTTGAATTATCTCCTTCTGCTGAGGTTCATTTAGTCATGAACTTCAAGAGATTGAGGAGCTTTAAAGATCCGCAAAGGAATTAGAACTATGTATAGGATAGATTCTCATGTGTTAGCCATTTCCATGGGTTTAAAAACTACCCTTTAACAGAATCTATTTGTGTGGTATAGAGGGCAGAGCTACACAGTCCTCCATGATCCAGTTTTTAAAAAAAGATTTTGTTTTTATTTTGAAAATAGAGACATGTGAAGAGTTGTTGATTGTAGTTAAGTGCCATTGATTCTGACTCCAGTGTACCCACCAAACAAAATGGACAATTTTTAACATATTGTCAGGTTTGCTTCGAGTTCTTTTAAGGAAAAATAATCACAGATAAAGTGTTCTTTGTCTACCTAGATCACCAGAATCCTTTCTGACTGCTCAAGATAAGCTACTATTATGCATTTAGAGCTCTGGTAGCGTAGTGGTTACGAATCGGGCTGCGAACCTTAAGGTCAGCGGTTCGAAACTACCAGCCGCTCCGTGGGAGAAAGATGAGGCTTTCTACTCCCGTAAGGATTTACACCCTTGGAAACCCTATACAGGGTCGCTATGGGTCGGAAGCGACTCGAAGGCACTTAACAACAACACAACAACATGTATCACTAGTGTGTATTGTTGAACTGTTTGTAATGTTACTTTAAGACAAGTGTTTCTTTGGCATACTGCAAACTAAAGTTCCTTGTCCCCATGACCAAAGTCAAGCATGTAAAGGAATCATTTAGTACAATTATTGTTTCACTATATCAAAATAAAAATATATTACATGAAATATTACTATTATTTCAGAGAGTTGAGGTAGATAAAAGAAAATAATAGAGGAAGGGAAATATGTGCACATATACAACACATAAAACATATTTTTTAACATTGTCTGCTTCCCCTTTCCTCCATATCTTTCTTGTGGAAGTATATTTTTTTTCCTTTGGCATCAGATTATAGTATTTCTCCTTTCCCTCCATTCTCCCTTCCCATAATTGTATCCTTAAAACCTAATTCAAACCAAATTCCTTGTAGCTATCCAATCCATCTTGACCCATGTAACTCTACTAACTGCCCAGCCACTTATTGAAACCATTGCTATCCGTAGTCTTTTATTTCTATGACTGTTTTTCTCATACCTCGAACATTCTCAAACACTCAAAACCACATAGATAATCTGTTCTCTCATATCAACTCAAAGGATTTCCAACTGCTTCTCTGAATGTCTGAAAAGGCACAGAAGGGCATGAGAAATAAAGCAAAATCTTCTGCTAAAAAAACAAAACCAGAAGAAAATAGACCTTTCAAGCAAGAAAATAAGTGTTTATAGAGAAAGGAATGACTGCGAGAGTATTTACAGAACTAACACTCTCTAAGTCTACTGTGTGCTCCAGTCACGCCCTTCCTTTGAAATTTCTGAATCATCAAATACTTCAGGCTTTTGTATAAGGCATGTGTGATGATTAGCAGAATGGTGACCTCTTCATCATCTGGAATAAATCTGCAACTATTACAAATAATGATCATCATGCCTTCCAGCTTGAACAATGGGTGTTGTTATTGGCTTTGGAGGGGAAGCACTGGGTTTTACCTACAGTTGTCAGTGTTTTTGTTTTGTTAATTGCTTTGCCTGATCTTGTGATGGTGTTTTATTTGCCTTTCTTCTATCTGTGATTATTTAGGAAAGAGGCTTTCACAGAAGCCCGGGGTGCACGCAGGGGAGTTAAAAAAGTCATGGTTATTGTGACTGATGGAGAGTCCCATGACAACCACAGACTGAATCAGGTCATCCAAGACTGTGAAGATGAAAACATTCAGCGCTTTTCCATAGCGGTAAGTACATTGCTAGTGGTGGCTTTCACAATCAAGAGTGGAGAGTTGTATATATATCATGGTAGTTTTATGACAGCTACGTAGGAAACTTCTCTGTTTGCAGGTAAGCTTTATGAAAGTAAGATTGGGGCAGAAAGGATGGAGAGAAAGAGGGAAGGAAGTAAAGAAGAAAGAGAAAGTAGAAGACGTGGTAGGGAGGAAGATAGAAATGACAGAAGAAAGGAAGGAGGTGGAGAAGAAAGAAGGAAATAAAAAGACAGTAGATAATGGTGTTATGATGGTTTCCTGCTACCAAGTCAGTTTTGATTCTTCGTGACCCTGTGTAGGGTTTCTGAGGCTGTAAATCTTTATGGGAGCACAAAGCCTCATCTTTCTCCCATGGAGCTGCCCATGGATTTGAACCACTGACCTTGTGGTTAGCAGCCCAACATATAACCCACTAAGCTTCGAGGACTCCGTAGATAATGAATATGTTGTTGTTGTGTTTAAGTGCCATGAAGTCAGTTCTGACTCAAATCGACCTTAGGGTTTCCAAGGAGCGACTTCTAAACTTGAATTGCCGACCTTGTGGTTAGTAGTTCAGTGCTTATCCTACAATTTCACACTAGAACAATGAATTTGTTGTTGTTTTTAAGTGCTGTTAAGTCGGTTCTAACTCATAGTGACCCTGTATAAGGTTTCCAAGGAATGACTGGTAGGTTTTAACCACTGACAATGAATATATCACTTATGAAATGATACTTCTTCCTGGAATTTGGGAGTTATCATAGATTGAATTGTGTCTTCCTGGTGTGGTGCTGTGGGCTAATGTGCTTAACTGCAAAATTGTTTTAACCACAATGTCAGTGGTTCAAGCTCACCAGCCGCTTCTGGGAAATCCTATACATGGTCGTTATGGGTCAGAAATGGCTCAACAGCACTTAATAACAATAAAACCAAAAATATCTATTAACTTGTCAGGTCTGTTACTCTCAGCGCTTTGGCAGTTATGTTGTTGTTGTTGCTAAGTGCCTTCAAGTTGGTTCTGACCCATAGCCACCCTGTATAGGGTTTCCCAGGAGCAGCTGGTGAGCTTGAACCACCAACCTTGTGGTTCAAAGCGACTTTGCAGTCCAGTACATGAACCCACAGTGCCACAGCATGAATGATCAGTTATGATGTAATCATCCTCCACGATGTCATGTGATATGATCAGCAAAGCAGTTGTAACAGGATTAGGTTGGGATGCAGTTCCCTTACTTATTTCACAGTCCTGGTCCTATGTAATGGAAGCTTTCCTGGGATGGGACCTGCTTCACCTTTTATCTTACAAGAGATAAAAAGAAAGAGAAGTAATAGGTGCCTGACTCACCCCCAGGAAGAAGAGGCAGATGCCGAGTATGTCCTTTGGACTCAGAGTCCTATGCTGACCCCCCACTAGACCCAGGGGAAGATTGATGCCAAGATACAAGGAGATCTCTAAGGAATGCTGAGCCCACAGATATTAAAAGGAGGCAAGAACCTTCTTCCAGAGCCAACAAAGAAATAAAGCCTTCTCCTAGTTCAACAGAATGGTGAACAAATTGTTCCAGAGCTGATGTTCTGAATTCAAACTTCTAGTCTCCTAAACTGTGAGAGAATACATTGATATTTCCTAAAGCTATCTATCCACTTGCAGGTTTTCTGTTTGGCACCACTAGATATCATTCAGTCCTGAGAGTTTTGTAATTGGTTAATGGATAGAGGCTGAAAGTTTTAAGGTGACTAATAGTAAAAATTTTCACACTGATGTGGCACTGTAGGCTAAGCATTGAACTAGAAACTGCAAGATCAACAGTTTAAACCCACTGACCCTCTCAGAAGCCCTATACATGTTGGCTATGAATTGGAACCTACTTGAAGATAAACAACAACAACAATTGCATAAGTCTAGATTGGAGAGACTGGAGCTATGAATGTCAAAGGCAATTCTGGTGAGGCCTCAGAATGAAGTGACAAGAGCTGTAGCAGTGGAGATGGTGTAGATGGCAAGGAGCAGTGGAAGAGAAATGGTAATAACAGAACCAGAAGACCACTGCAAGATAGAGGCAACCCACATAGCAAGAAAACTGAACTTCTTCCAACTGAGGTTTACTGGGGAAGTCGGGCCACTCCAGGCACTATCAGCTCAGTTACTGTGCTTTTTGTCACATGCCAGAGTAGAACAGAGATTGACTGGCTTAAGAGACCCGAGGGGCTGGGAGAATAAAGGAATGAGGAACCAGAGCTACCTTGGTCTGAAAGGTAGACCTTGACCTCTGGAATTTCAAAGCGTGGGGACACGTCTTCTGGAGTTTCAAAGATGGGATCATAGTCTCCTCAGTTTCAAAGATTCAGATCTTCACTCACTCAGTTCCAGAGCATGGGGCTGCTATTCATGAGTGCCAAGAGGATGGGGCCAGAATCACTGTGCAAAGCTGAGGGGATAGGATGCTGTGGCCAAGTTGCAGAAGAAGGGCCAAGAGCATGAGGACACCATTCTGTTGAACTACGAGAATGCAGCTCCCCCAAAACAGGAGCAGCACTGCCCGTCCAGTGGGTCTGGAAGGTGCAGCTGAAGCCCTTGGCTAGGGGGGCCTCCACCCACAATTCAGAAAGCATATCCATCACTCAGAGGAGGGCAGAGCTATTGCCAAGATGTTCTCAGAAAAAAAGAGGGTTATCTTCAAGGCTGAGAACTAGCACACATTGTTCTACTGGGTTTTGGATTCCCTTATTGCCCATTATTCCCTTTCTCCCTCCAGTTTCTCCTATTTGTGATAGAAATGTCCACTTTGTTTCTATTCCGCCATTGTACATTGGAAACAGATAACTGGTATTCTAGATTTACAGATGAAGAGGAACTTTTTTCTAGGATAGAATTTGGACTAGGAGTTGATTTACGACTTTTAGGATGATGTGATAGAGTGAGAGTGTTTTGCATGTGGCAAGAACATGCATTTTGGTGGCTAAAGAGTAGAATGTCATGGGCTGAATTGTGTTCCCCAAAATTTGTCAGTATGACTGAGTCCTTACTCTCAGTGGTTTGGCTGTTATATGATGACATAATTATCCTCCATGAGGTGATGGGATATGATCATCCAATCAGTCATAAGGGGATTAGGGTGGGATGAAACACCCTTACTCAGATCACAACCCTGATTAGATGTAAAAGGAGTTTCCCTGGAGTGTGGCCTGAATCACCTTTCCTCTTTCAAGAGATAAACTGAGAGAGAAGTAAGCAGAAAAAGAGGGACCTGACTACCATTAAGGAAGAAGAGCTAGGAATGGAGTGTCCTTTGGACCTAGGGTCCCTGCACCGAAAACTGCCTAGACCCAGGGGTAGGTGGAGGCCAACACTCATGGAAATCTCCAAGGAATGCAGGGCCTGTAGATGTTGAAAGGAGAAAGGACCTTTCTCTAGAGTTGACAGAGAGAAAAAGTGTTCCCCAAATTCCCCTGAATTTGGACTTCTCTTCTAAACTGTGGGATATTAATTGTGTTTGTTACAGCCATCCTCTTGTGGTACTTCTGTTATGGCAGCATTAGATAACTAAGCCAGGAGGGTAGACAATCAGGACAGACATTTTATAATTAACTATTAGAAGTCATCAATGATGGTTTTGCCCTCAACTTTTTAAGTGGTAAGAGAGAAGCAAAGACTCACCTAGTTATTTGTCTACCCTGAGCAACACAAAGACTAATGAAAAAGCCTGCTACTATTCATGACCTTCCTGTGTGTCTCTGTAGTTGTGGATGCCCGTACGCACATGCCACTTCATGATATTACCAGTGAACTGTGGAGCCAGGTGATAATTATCATTGCTCATGCATTTTGTCTAGAGCCATTTCCTCTACACTTCATATCCTAAACTATGCAATTAGGTGATGCTGCCTTCAGTTATAAAATATGCTTCTCTGTGATTACATTCAACCTGGTTGAAAGGGGAAAAACTTGAATCAGAACAGAAGAACGTTTCCTTTGGTTTCTGTTCTGGATGATAGAGAAAATATCACATATAAAGTAATTTATGTGAGTAAACCTTTATAAATACAAAGAAAACCATTATTAACAACATTTGTATCCCATTATGCCAAAAGTAGAGAATGTCTATGAGTTAGAATTGACTTGATTGCAACACATTTGGATTTTTGTTGTTGTTTCTATTTGGTTTGATTTTTTTGTTTGGGTGTTTGAATATTTAGGAGTTCTTATTAGTGACGTGTTTAAAAATGTGAACTTCTAAAAGTTTCTGAACTTAGTTGACCCAGTTTTCATGTTGTCACCCCCCGAAGGGAGCATTTATAAAAAGAAGTGCAAAATTCTACTACTCAAACTTAAAAAATTTATCTTAATTACCATGTACGTTCTGTCATGAAAGAAGTACAGCCAGAATGCTCCTTGGATAGTGTGATTTCATCTCACATACTTTGGATCTGTTATAAGAAGGGACCAATCTCTGGAGGACATCCTGCTTTGTAAAGTGTAGAGTCAGTGAAAAAGAGGAAGACCCCCAATGAAGTGGATTGACACAGTGGCAGCAACAAATGGCTCATTTGTTAACAACAGTTGTGAAAATGACACAAGACCAAGCTGTTGTCCATAGGCTTTCTATCTACAGACTCAACAGCACCTAACAACACCAATCACTTACATAACACTCTATAGGTTACAATAGCTTTTTCTTATTATTATTTAATATCTGTGTTCTGCATAAATTTCTTTGTTCCTTCTAACACCCCAGAGAAAGTAGGGAAGCTTTTCTTTCTCCATTTTTGAAAAGGGGAAACTGAAGTCGAGCAAGACTACAAGGCTGTTGTCTATATTAATAGTAGTCCAGATTCGGGATTCCAACTAGAAAAATATCAAAGATTTTATCAAAAATATCAAAGAGTAAAACAAATTGCTGCAGCCAGGAAACCTGACACCCAAGAGGAATTACTGAAGACTGGTTTGAGAAATATAGTAACTTCCATTGATAAGAAGCTATAAAAATTAGAAA